AAGTAGGAATAGGCTTCACTCAGAAGCTTATTTTGCAAATTTACCAAAGAATGGCCTCTAAATCTACAGGAGACATAGCTGGCTGCCTGCATTTGGGGTTAATCAAAACTGAACCAGGTGAACCGAGCAGGCTGTTCAAACAGATTGAGCTCGCAATAGCCCTTCTCTACTGATTACCCTGTCCCTGGCTTGCAGTGCAAGTTTTCAACTTGTAAGCCCACTATGCCTGCAAATAAGATTTGGCATGCCCTATGCTGGCAAAATACTTGTGAGACATTGTTGAGACCAAATGATCCATCTCTTCATGTGATGTGCGTAACTTGGGCACTTAATCACCTGCCTTGCCAAAATCAACAGGACAGTGAAGAAGAGGGAGTTGTATAGGTTCCCTATCAGGTATGTAAGGGTAGCAGTTCATGCTAATAAATCTGTAAGACTTCATAAGCTTAAACACTTAACCTTATCTTGAGGGCTCACCCTTAATGAGGTCCTTTGTATTCAGATAGCCAGTGGCATAATGGCATACAAAATATAACTGAAATAGTTAACATTCTCTGTGGGCACTGCTGTTCTGTACCAAGCCCTCCAATTTTGACACACTCACAGGCAAATGCTACAAAAGTAAGTGGTGAATGGGATGAGTTGGATTTTTCGTCATTGTGTTGAAGTTAGATTGACTAAATAGATTATTTACTTCCGAGCAACAGACCTGGGAAACTGGGTTTATTTGCAGCTCGATACATATGGTTTCACATATCACTCTCTGCTTTCAGTGTAGCAGATAAGGTATCAACACAATTAAAAGTGAAAAATAATCTGTCTGCTGTGCCAGTGGTGGATGCTCAGAGAACACACGCTGATACAATAGATTTCTGAATAATTTATACTCAGCATTTTTTCCTTGCACTCGGTAAATGAGGACGCCTAATGTGGCATGGTCAGAGTGATACTCTATCTGTCATCCATTAAGATAACAAGATTGGTGGGCCTGGGAGGTGCGTGGCATGGTGCGCGCAGAAAAGATGAGATTAAAAATTGAAGTGTTTGTCCAAAATGTTCTGTGTAAAGGATGCTGATAAAAGCAGCTCAAAAAAACCCCAGAATTAATTCAGAAGTGTGATTTCCTCAAAGCTTTGTTTGTCTTTGCTAAAATAAAACTGAAAAAAGATCCATGCTTCTTTCAAAAGTTGTGGATAAAAGGAATATCAGAGCAAATCACTGTTCCTCATATCCCCTCAGTAGCTTACTCTACTTTAAATTCAAGTACTTTGTAGGTTCTATTGAAAACAATTATGTATGACAGTAATGCTTTATGTCTCACAGAATGGGATTTTCTTTTATAATCATAAGGCATTTTAAATTACAAAGAAAGTATCATTTGTGCTTGTTTCTGGCACAAGAGTGTCTCATCTTCCATCACAGGGTGTTCATTTGGACAGGATGCTAATATATTTGCATAAAAAATGGCTCATGTAAATATTCAGCCAAACAGATTTGTTATGAGGTGAATATATTACAGTAAGTAGTATATTGTTTTCCAAGAGCCAGTAGGCACTAGAAGTTGGTTAATTTATAAGCAGTGCTGGTTTGCTGTCTCTGAAGTTTCTGACATCTTCTTAAGGTCAGGTCACATTCAGAGTTTCTTGTTTTTTGAAGAAACTGTTGGAGGTGTGAGATCAAATGGGAGTCATTTCACAAAAAGCACTTGGAGGAAAACTTGGGCTTGCTTCTGATTTCACTGTTTATAGTGAAAGGATCAGTGTTATTATACCTATGCTATTTGGAACCCAGCCCTGAAATGGTTTAAATGTGCTCTTCTGTTTCACCAGGCAGCAAGCACCCGCTCTGCCCATCCCCGTGTCCTGTGGGGTTTTCTTTCACTGCAGAGCTTCAGGCGAGGTCCAAACCCCTGCAGAGGAAAGACAGGACGCTCTCTGTTTTTTCAACCCAGATTCAGGAAATGTTTCTGAGCATGACCCTGCTTGCAGTGCCACCCAAAACTTGTGGCTGCACAGCACCAGGCTTATGGAGGTGGGTGGGGAAACCAAGCCCCAAGCACACATCAAATGCTCCTCACCCACCAGTGCCTGAACTCCTGTCGCTCCCTCTAGGATGACTTTGGTTTGGAGTTTGTGTGCAAAGGTATTTATAATCTGGGCAGTTTTCTTAGTGCCTGTCCAGAGGAAAATTTTTAAATCAAATCTCTTTGATGACGTATTGCTGAGGTTTTAAAATGAGTTTGCCACAAATCTTAGTAGGAGTAGTATCCCAGCATTGTCTTGGAAAAGAGTACTTGGGAGTGGCACTAATACACTTTCAAGAACCATGTCCTTAGTTTTAAGCAGGGCTGCATTACACCTTTTTTCACCTGAATATTTTATGTAAACAAGTTCATTTTTCTTCCTGTTCCTTGTGTAATTCCAGGAAGAAAATCAAATACAGGTGTTAAAAAGTACTTTGTAAAACAACAGTCTAAGCTTCCACAGTTAATATCCTCATCTATATCTTTCGCTCTGGGGAGGTTAGGCTGTTGAGGAAACTGTCTTCATTTCAAGCTGGCAATCTGCTTTTTCCAGATTTGTTCTTCTTAAGCCGTTTATGTTCGTGATGAGTTCATGAATGCTTTATACTTGCTGTCTGCAGAAGTTGGGTCATGTTTTTCTGTTGGTCTATGTGGTCAGCTTTGTGTAGTAAGGACTGAGACAGCCTCCTCTGCCTTCCTTCCTGATTAGCTGTAATTAAACCCTGGCTTACAAGGGTGCCTTACCTACATCAAAATATCAGAACAACTGATCAATCAGTGGGTGCCATTAGCTACTGGTTATATTTTGGTGCAGTACAGATGTATTTGGAGAAGGCTGTTTCTTCTTTTTACCAGTATTGGGTGACTTGTTCCTTTAGACCATTTTGTTTCCTGCCCTGTCAGGCTGGTGATAGGAGAGAGATTCCACTGGTGACTGTGGGTGTTAAAAAGTCACCTACAGCACAGGATTAAGCTGGGGTGGCTGCAGGGGAAGCCACCAGTCTTGGCTTCCCCTATGTCTTTCCAGCTAAAAAGTGGTGACTGAATAAGCTGTATAGAGACCCCTGAACCCGCATAGATCACACGTTCTGCCTGTTGAATTAAACCAAATTAGATGCCACAGACTCCTCCACTGTTGTACTTAGCTTCATCAGCAATTACCACAGGTATCACAGTTAGGGGAGTATCAAAGCAAGAAAGGACTAAGTGAATATTAACATAAGTTTTCTTCTTGGCAAGTAAACAAATGTATATGCACTTGCTATATTTGCCATTGCAAAGATTCGAGCACTGTTAATGAACTATTTTATATTCAGAAGTGTGGAATATAGATAGCAGTGTTATTGATACCTTAAAAGGTTTTAATTGTCTAAACAAATAGCTTTAAATTCTTCTTCTGTGTTCAGTAGCTTAAGGAAAAGAAGTGGAGAGTTTTTATTTACCTCTTTGATGGTAGTATTAAATATCTCCTAAATCAGAGGAGCTAACCTCAAGATGAGGCTTGCCTGTGCAAGAGCTGCGGAAAACTTTTGTTGGGGGTTACGTGATTAGGGAGGCATTTTTCAGTTCTCAGTGAATCTGAGGTATTTTCATAACGTTAGCATCTATAGCACATTGGCTGTGCAAGGAATTTATGACCAGCCCTTACTGACTGTGCCTGCCCGACCACTCCCTGATCATATAGCCAGAAACTCTCCCTGTTAACTCTGAATGATGGGGTTTTTGGCTTTTGAACTACTCGTGTGTCTCGGTGAGCCCTTCTAGGAGAGCCAATTTTATAGCTTACCATGATTGCATCTTCAGACAAATGCATTGTGGGCACAGAGCTATCGTCTGCGGCATCAAGTTTACAGCTTCCCTGTAGGGTATAAACATGCGGCTGGTTGAAGAGTTTTAACCTCTCAAGCCCTCCAACAAATATTAAATTGCTAACTATTCTTCCATAATGCTACGATGTTGACTGAAATTTGACCCTGGTGCTTGCTGAAACGATTTTCAAAATCTGAGTGAGAAGGTTAAATAGCCCTGTCAAATTTCCAAATGTCTGTTGCAGAAATACTTTTGCTGAGTGTCTGTGGGTTGAGCTCTAAAATGCTTAAAGTAATCCTCTTTTTTTCCTTCATTATTATATGATATTATCTAAAGCTTGAGGTTTAGTGCAAATAAAGAAATTAACATTTTTGCCTTTTTTTCTGTGCCACTTAGCCTTACCAACTATGGCTGTTTATCTCCATTTTTTACTTGTCAAAGGAAGAATCCAGTCCAATGGTGTTCCTTAAGTACAAACCAGACCTTTAGGTCTCTTTAATTTCTGTTCAGGATCATTGTAATTACTTGATTATTTTCACAGCTGTATCTGAATAAGAAAAAAAAAAAAAGCTGTAATTGGCAACTTTTACAAGTTCACAACTCAATAACCTGATGCTGGAACACTTCCACCTGCAGAAGCCTCATTAATTGCTGTAGATGTTTCAGCAGCTAAGAGACCTGGATTTCAAATTATTCCTCTTTCGACGTGCAGCCTTCGAACTAGAGAATCTCTGCAGTAACAAAAATAGATGGGACCTTCAGGCTGAGCGAGGCTGTTGGTTATCAAATGAGTGTTTAACTTCCAAGTGGATCTGTTAGGAAGGCTGTTGTTTACCCAACTCATTACTTACATCCATAAGCCCAAACCATTTTTGTTTGAGTGTTTTTGTAAAATCTAGGACTTAATTTCCTGAATGCTCTTACTATTTCTAGTTTTGTTTATTTTGGCCTTAGGTTGCATTATATAATTAGTTTTTATTTAAGAGATGAGTCTTATGTTGCAAGAAACAGTACTAAATATAATAAGACTGAGTCTTTAAAGATGCTATACTCCAGCCATAACTTTGAATTTATTTTGTTATTTTAAAGCAATGTTAGTGCCTGTCTCTTAAGGGTTATGGGAAGCTCAGAAGTTTATTTGGTTCTTTTTTTTCTTTCTTGATTGCAGGGCTTTTTCCGCAGGAGTATCCAGAAGAACATGGTTTACACATGTCACAGAGATAAAAACTGTGTTATCAATAAAGTTACCAGAAATCGCTGCCAGTACTGCAGACTACAGAAGTGCTTTGAAGTGGGAATGTCCAAAGAATGTAAGTAGTCTTCAGAAACGTATTATTGTTTAGCATATCCTACATATGTGTGACAGTCCTGAGGGAAAAAGTTATTCTGCAATTATGTGATTGAAGCCAGTACCTGCATTCATATTCAGAGAAAGGAGTATGAATCTGGTACACAACTTAAGACCTGTACCGTACAAGCTTCTGAGTCCTTAACTTTGCAGCCTAAATGCAGTCAGTTAAGAGCTTTTAGTGTAACTGTGCAGCATGGCCATCCCATGTGAGTGTGAGGATACCTGAGTGGGTTGTTTTGCCAGGTCTTCTAAAAGAACAAACCCACAGATACTTGCTTTAACATTGGAGTATCTTCCATCTGCTCTAGAAATGGCTTCCTAGGACAAGAGTGTCGGGGGCTGAATAGAGGGTTCTTAAGCTTGGTTTCAGTCCTCCCTCCACTCTGCAGACTGGCTTGAGGCTTTGCTGGACTTGGGTCAGCCCAGGCTGTCACTTCTTGAGGACATCCTGCTGGCAGCAGCTTTCATCAGCCTTACTCCTTCTCCCTCGCACCAGTGCAGGTGCTGGTGCCAGAGGGCTTTCTTTTAGTGGCAGTGCTAGTTTGTGCCATTTTACAAAACTGATGGTATAATGCCCTTGAGCTTTCTATTCTTACTGGCTGGACCCTCTCTGAAAGGTGAAACAAGCTGGCAACTCCTCTTCTAACCCTGGAAATCCAGTAAACCTGACTATGCAAAAGTGCTGCCAAGAGCACCAGAACCACAAAGGACCTTCCTCTCTCTTCTTTTCTAGAAATCTCTGTTTTTCCCTTTAAATTAACAGTTTAAAATATTCATGTAGAAATATGTGATTTTTCTCTTTTTCCAGTTTATTGATATGCCTGTCAAGCCTGAAAATATTGCTAAAAAAGCCTTTCTCAAATCCCTATGGGGTAACACTTCTGAAACTTTCTCATTTTTGATTGGATTGATTGCAGCAGCAAAAGAGTCTTTGGTGTAGTGATTTATTCGATTGTTGAGGGTTTTCACCTCTATCAGCGATGTTCCTGATTTCAGTAGGCCAGTTCCAATAATAAACACTACAGAAATTTGCAGTGTGTGCATAAGAGAGGAGGAAGAATTGCCCCACATCACTTCTTAACTCCAATTCACCGACAGGAGTTTGTTGGAGAGAGTTTAAGACCAAAGGAAAAGAAAAATTGACAGTGATGAAATATTTATGTCTGAACTATTGTTTCAACCAGTTCTCATCTTCAGCATTTCGCCTTCCTGAATTCTGTGGGACATCCCAGTAGTTCCCTTCTCCATACTTGAGCAGGAGCTGTAGAGGTCTTAAAGTCACACTTGTTTCTCCTCATTGAATCCTGTTTCTCTCTCCCACCCTCTCCTGCCTTTCTCCTCACAGAAAGAG